CTGGCTCCATCCCCGCCTCTTCGACCTGTTTGTTTCCTCTCCACCTATCCTCTCCTATTTCCCTCTTCTATCCGCCTCCCACTCTCTCCCTATTTATTTCAGAACCCCCTTCCCCTCCCCCTTTTCTGATGAAGGGTCTAGGCCCGAAACGTCAGCCTCTCTGCTCCTATGATGCTGCTTGGCCTGCTGTGTTCATCCAGCCCTGCACCTTGTTGTCTTGGATTCTCCAGCATCTGCAGTTCCTACTATCTCTGATTCAATAGGGTAATTATTCTTTACACTCCAGACAAGTAAATTAAAACAATTTTTACAATGATATTTACAATATGTTTCTCAAAGATTAAGTTATATTTGTATTTCTAAAAACTTTAACCAGAAGAAATATTGGGTGGAATCATGTAGGGAGTCTAACTGTTGTGAACTACGTGACGTTGTGACAGAATTGAATCAATCAATCAATCATAGAATCCCTACAATGTAGAAGCAGGCTAATTGGCCCATCGAGTCTACACTGACCCTGCAAAAAGCATCCCACCCAATTGCACCCCCGACCCTATTCTCTAACCCTGCAATTCTCTTGGCTAACCCACTTAGCCTACACATTCCTAGACACTATGGGGTAATTTACCATGGCCAATCCACCTAACCTGCATATCTTTGGACTGTGGGAGGAAACAAGAGAACCCTGAAGAAATCTACGCAGACACGGGGAGAATGTGCAAACTCCACAGAGACAGTTGCCTGAGAAATCGAACCAGGGTCTCTGGCATTGTGAGGTAGCAGTGCTAACTACTGAGCCACTGCGTTGCCCCAGTTGGATGAAAACCAAGGCCTATCTCAATGTTGGTTGCATCTCATCTACATTTTTATGCTTTTTGCCAAGAGATGAGCCAAATTTCTCACCAAATACTGGTGAGCTGCCAATTAAGGGGAATTATAGGTTGTTAAACACCACATTAATGCCATAATGCACCTCATAAGTATTCAGCTTTCTATCTTATGAAACTGCACTGAACAAGCTAGCTGTCAAGAGTTCTTGACATGGAAATCAGAGGAGGTACCTGATGACTTCAAATTGCTGTTTGGTCTGAAGGACCACCATGAAGGACACCCAGCACCAACATCTCGGGTCATGTTCTATGGACACCAGTCACAAGCACTTCATTCCGTGGACATTGGCATCTAACATGTGCCAGTATCTAAAAATCCTCATGGTACATTTCTGATACACTTACAGGACACTTCTGTACCTCAGGCTGTACCAGCAACTATCATTTTGCAGCAAGGACGCTGTGCTCAAGGACACACCCAGCTCATGGACTGGATCAGGCTCTTCGCTTGCTCCAATATGCACTCACTCACTTTGAGCCTATCTGGATGTTCACAGCATTCCTGCCTCGTTTTGATGTGCCTTGCCTTTTTGCACTTTGTCCCTCAGTCACATATATTAGGGTCATATTACTTCTGTCTTGTCTTACCATTTAGACCAGACACAAAGTAAGCTTATCATGTTTGTCAGCAAGCCTCATTCAAGCCAAGCGATGTAACCTTTGTCAGGGATTTCTGGTAAAGTAAGTCAAGGACAGCCTCTGATACCTGCCCAGGGGCTTGGGCACAGTCAGTCAGCCATTCCGGTGGTCAGAGTCATGATCCTTTCCTCACAACGGGTGAGGAGCTGAATGTTGGGAAGCCCACCATATGTTTTGTGTCTTTCTGCCCTGTTGTGGGCTGTGTTCCTCCTGGAATGAGAAACAGATAGGTTTCAAGGGAGGCGCCAGTGGGTAACACAGCTGTTACTCTTGATGCAGGTGGGGAGGTGTCCTGAATGAGAAAGTTCATGGCTATGCCTTCAGAACATTGTACATCTCAATCAAATCCCTCTTCAGCCTTCTCTGCTCTTAAGGAAAATAATCCCAGTTTATCTGGTCTCTAAATCATTCCAGTCCAGGCAACATTCTGGTGAATCTCTTCTGTACCCTCTCGAGCCTAATTACGTCTTTCCTATAATAGTAACCAGAACTGTGCACAGTAATCTAGCTATAGCCTAACTAATGTTATTTACAGCTCCATCATAGTCTCTTTGCTCTTGTATTCAATAGCCAAATTATTAAGAGTCAGCCTGTTGTGTTAGAAAAGGTTATTTTTTTTTTAAAGAATTGGCATGTTTATATGAAGTAATAAATGCAACAATATAATTGATTGTAAATGCCTCATGTAATTTGATGATTTGTTTATTTTCTATATTGTATGATTTGTTTATTAGCTCCTTTCACTTATTGCAGAATCTTTGCATGTAAGCTTGAATTGACAAATTATTATTGCTTCAATTAATTACTTGTTATATATTTTGTATTACTCCCCCTTCAGAGTCCTGTGAATGCATTATCTGGCTGGTATTATATATGCACCATGTAACAAGTTAGTTCAAATAGCAGAACATCCACTTCCAAACCAGGTGACATAAGGCTTAAGTTGTAGAGTTGCCTGTCCCTCTAGGCCAACAGCCATGATTAATGGAAAATTTTATGTTCCAAGTTGTAATGACCTGTTGGGAGTTGCAATTTACAACAGCAAAAATAAAGGACAAAACAGGATAAACCTAGGAAAGATCTTCCCAATGATCGGTGAGCCCAGAACCAAGGGTCAGAGTCTAAGGATACAGGGTATGCCATTTTTGGCTGAGATGAGGAGAAATTTCTTCACTAGAGAGTGGTGACCCTGTGGAATTCCCTGTCACTGAAAGCTATTGAGGCCAAAACATTGAATGGTTTCAAGAACGAGATGGATATAGTTCTTAGGGCTAAAGGGATCAAAGGTTATGAGGAGAAAACAGGAACAGGTTGCCTAGTTGGGTGATTAGCCATAATCATGTTTAATGGTGGAGCAGAATTTAAAGGGCTGAATGGCCTATTCCTGCTGCTATTTTCCACATTTCTATGAAATATAGGGAGAAATGGAATGTGTCTTATAACGTACTAATACTTTGCCTGTGCATCCTTACCCTTTTCCTAAAAAAGGCAAGTGTGTAAAGAAGCTGGGGTGATCTCCTTAGAGAAGAAAAAGTTCAGGGGAGATTTAATAAAGGTGTTCAAAATCATTAAGAGTTTCAGTCAAATGAATAAGGCAAAGCCATTTGCTGTGCTAGAACAGTTGGTAATAAGAGGAGACAAATTTGTGGTGCCTATTAAAAGAATCAGAGATGAAAAGAGGAAACACATTACACAGTGGGTTGTTACGATCTCTACTGCCCATGAAGGAGTGGGGTTCACTAAGCAGATTCACTAATCAATAAAGATTTGTTTAAAGACTTGATAAGAAAAATTTATGGGTTATTAATCAAGGAGCTTGACAAATTCCATAGCTCCTTCAAAGAGCTGGCCAAGACAAGATGGGCTGTATGGCCTCCTTCTCCACTATGTCAGTGTATAACTCTATGATTAACACTTCTTAATATTAAATTGCTCTAGGTTTTTCAGTAATGGAAGAAATTTTGTTAAATATTAGTGCTGAAAAGTTACCCCACCATAGCAGACAGGCCAGTGGCAGTACACAATATAGTTGCACTCCCAGTTTGTCCAAACCAGTAATTGTGGATGACGAGTTATTTGAATTCGTTCCTGCATACCATTTTGATGGACAAGAAATTATCTACCTTCAACCAAAGTCAGAGAATGAAACTAAAGATGGCCAAAAAGTAAACAAAAAAAACAAAGAGATGAGCACTGATGATAAGACAGCGATGAATGAAGATAAGGTCAATGAAAAAGCAAAGTTGCATGTTCAGAAGGTCCGCATTGGCACTAAAACAAGAACCCATAAAGATCTGGTTAGCACAAGTGATAAAGCAGCAACTCATGGAACAGAAACCAACCTGTCTTCTGAGACGGAGGAAATGAAATTTCACTTGGAGAGTAATACTTACGCAGCACCAAATTCTAACGTTTCTCAAGCTGCTCAGTTGGATGTACAGCAATCATCTGTAGTCAGTGATAATATAAGAACTCAAAGTTTTTCCAATAGTATGGGCGAAGATAGTATGGAATCTGATTCTACTAATGAGGAAGGTGATATCAGAGATTTCTGCTACATGGAACCACCTCATAGCTTCAATTTCAAGAACCGAAAGGGCATTGAAAAGTTCAAGAAATTTCTCCATGGAACTGCCGGTGAGAAATATTGGTGGCTATGGATGGATATTGAAAGATTAAAAGTAATCGAGGATGGCAAAAAGAAGCAAAGGTTAGTCAGAGATTTAATATAGAAAACTGGTTTTTTTGAAATGAGGATTAATATTGTCACTGTTTCTATAAAACAGCTCTCAATTGAAATGAAAACCTAAATGCTTTTCATGTAGCCTTTACATGTGACATTAATCATGCAAAAGTTTGACATTTGTTTAAAACTTTGGGTCAAGTGTCAGCTGAATTCAATTGATAGTGTTCTCCCTTTAACAACAAAATATTGCTTTTATCTAGCACCTTTAACAAGTTGCTAAAGTCAGAATAAAAACCAAAAGAACTGTGGATGCCGTAAATTAGAAGCAAAAACAAAAGTTGCAGGAAAAGCTCAGCAGGTCTGGCAGCATCTATGAAGAGAAATCAGAGTTAATGTTTTGGGTCCGGTTCTGAGGCAGGGTCACCAAACCCAAAATGTTAACTCTGATTTCTCTTCACAGATGCTGTCACACCTGCTGAGCTTTTCCAGCAACTTCTGTTTTTGTTGCTAAAGTCAGAAGACTGGTTATGGAATCTAAGCTTTGTGGAAGTTATTGGAGTTCCCATCATTTAGGTACAATGTTAGTCTAAAGTTTTGCCTGACTGATTGGGTGGGTGTTGAGGAACTCACAACAGTACATGAAGTACAGGGACCTCTCCCAGGGCCTGATCAAAACTCTTTCCTCAGTCTATTATGACCAAGTGAGATGAATGAATCAGCTTCCCTTTTCCGAACCTCCTCTTTTGTCGACAACAAGGTTTATGTTTTTTCAGACCTTTCTGCAAGTAAAATATTATTAAGTAATTTTTATTGTGGCAGTAAAGAGTTAATCACAAGATTTTTGTGGAGTTAAAAAGGAACAAGTTTATTACCTGCGAAGTTAAAAGAGATAGCATTCAGTACAAAAAATAATAAAAGAATCTACAATTAAGATTCTTGTGCATCCTTGAGGTGTAAGGGTTTAACCTGAGACCACAGTTGGTCAGTTGATTTCTGGGACTATCAACTGGTGAGAATCTTGCGGTTAGGTGTTAAGTCCTCCACTTCCTGGTGTTTCTTTCCATTCAATCAGTGTTGTTACCCCCGTTTCTTCTTGAAAGCCTGAAGAGGAGAGACAGAGTAAAAGAGAGAAGGCTTTTGGTAGCCTGTTTCAGTTCTGCAGTCAAACTACGTCTCCCCTACTTTTTTTCAAGAACTTCTTTGAAGTACAAACTGGTTTGTATATTCCATCTGCAAGTGATGCTTCTTTTCCACATGTGAAAAATTCTCATGATGGTGCAAATAAGATTTGAAATGGGGACCTTTTCACACTCCCAATAGTGTGTGGGATGTCAGGGGAAGCTGCAGTGTTGACTTGTTCAATTGTCTTTGGATAAATTTTAATTTCAATTCAGTTGTGTATTGACTAAACCATGTTGTTTTAATGACACTTCAACTAATGTGCGTCAGGTGATACCTGTAGTCATTTTAAGTCAATGGTTTTGTCCCCTTTTTTAAACCGTTTCAGTGTATGTAAGTCTAAGGTTTTAAATTGGATGATGTAATTCAAAAATCAATAGTCCATGTTTGCGTCATTATGATGGGATCAAAGTTACAAAAAAAAAATAGACTGGCACTTCATCGCCATTTGTGGACCGTAATGTGTAATTTGGCTGCCATGTCTACTTTTATACTAATGGTAACTCCAATTCAAAGATAATTAATTTGTTGACATAAATAAATTTGTTTCTATGTACATGAGTGATTAGATTTTGGAATGCACCACCTTCTCTATGCAGACTCAATGGAACGTAAAGAGCCATAGTCCAGAAAGGACCATAGGCATCACTCTTCATTAGAGAGAGAGAGACAATTGATTACATATAGTTTGAAAGTAACTACTGCACAAATGTGGGGTAAGATGATGATCAGATTTCCATGAACTACCGAAGCCAGATTCAACCTGCAGTTTGGCCTTTATTCTGCACCACACCCTAGTCATCTAGGCAACTAAACTCATTGACTCACACAGATTCAACAGCAGGTTTCAATAGGCCACAGGATAAGTTCTTGAAGAAGAGAAAATTCAGAAATGTGTGGAAAAAGAGAGGGGAATTAAATAGGTGATTCCTCAAAAGAACCTGCAAAGATCTGATGGGGCAAATGCCCTCCTTCTGTGCTATACTATACTATAATTTTATGAAAATGTAATTTCCTTCTTATTGAATAAAGCTTCACAGAACTTCGATTGTGGTAAAGGGAAAATTAGAGCAGCAGGTAACAATAATTCACCATCTAATTTTACAAGTAATAGAATCAATTCAACACTGATGTCATCTCACATATAATAATTGAGTCAACTTCCCAGTTACTTTGCAACTATTGGAATAAAATTGAGTCTTGTCTTGTCACTCTACGACCAACACTTACAAGGATTAAAGACCCCATTCCCACAACATGCAGAACAAACGTGGTTTACAAAATACCATGCAACGACTGCCACTCTGTGTTAATGAAAAAAAAATTACCAAACTTCGTGATTGAGTTCTATGACTACTGAATTGCCAGGATCTTTATTTAAGGATAAGATGACTGAACACGTCAAAAATTTTCAACCGGTCAGAGAGATGCAGAATTGACTTTGTAAAGATAGGTCATGCTTGACAAATCTGATTGACTTCTTTGCTGACCAAAAAGGTGGACCGAAGAACGCCTGTGGATGTTATCTCCATGGACTTCCAGAAGGCATTTGATAAAATCTTCCATATTAAACTATTAGCTCAAGTTGAAGCTCATGGGATTGAAGCCAAATTGTTGACCTGGTTAGTAATTTGACTGAGCAGCAGGATCTGTGCAAATGCTTTATTTATTCACTGTATTAATTCATAACTTATGATGGGATAGAAGCCACATAAGTCAATACTGTCAGGTGTACAGATAGAAGCATTAAATTGCAAAGAGACATTAAATAAGTAAATGACAAAAACTAGTAAATAGATTTCAATGTAGACAAATATGAGGTTATCTACTTTGAACCTGAATTGGAATCCTCCAGTCATACTTTGTCCTATGACTACCCAATTCATTTCTACTTAGGACCCTGGTCCCAATCTGGTTCATCTGGAGCCCATCCTGACTACAGTTCTTTCCTGCCTCAGAACTAATGGTAGAGTCCCATGAAATGAAATCCTTCTTCCTAACATCATGAATAACTTACTACCCCAATTGTTTTTTGTTTAGCCATGATGTACTTTTGGCAAAAAAGTACTGTGACTTTTTGAAGCAAAGTATCGTTTGACTGGGTTTGAAAAGAAAATATTCCTAAGAAAATGTTGACTAATCTTTTTCTGATTGGTCCAGCCCAATTAGAGTGTAGGCATTCATAGAATTATATAGCATGGAAACAGGCCCTTTGGCCCAACCTATCCATGCTGATTAGTTTTACTAAACTGAACTAATCCCTTTAAAGTATTGACAAAGATCTGTAGCTCGGGTTGTAGATGAGGTTGTTGACGTGCTCACCGAGCTGCCTTGTTTTTGTTCAGACGTTTTGTCACCATGCTAGGTGACATCATCAGTGGAGCCTCCGATGAAGCGATGTTGTTCTACTCCACTTGGAATTTATACTGTCTGGTCTATTATGGTGAGTAGTGTCATTTCTGGTTTTGATCTGTATGGGTTTGTCTATGGGGTCCAATTCAATATGTTTGTTGATTGAAGTATGGGTGGAGAACCTTGCCTCTAGGAATTCCCGTGCGTGTTTATATTTGGCTTTGGCTACCAAGGTTACTTTGTCCCAGTTAAACTAATGGCCTTCATTGTCTGAATGTAGCGATATTAAGGAGAGTTCATCGTGCCGTTTTGCTGCTAGCTGATGTTCGTGTATTCTGATGGCTAGTTTCCTTCCTGTCTGTCCGATGTAATGTTTGTGGCAGTCATTGCATGGTATTTTGTAAATACTTTCCTACATCAGGAACATATTGGAACTGACAACAAGACTCCTATGACCACTAGGAATCATGGTGGCCCACAAGCCCATAGTCACTCTCCGACCAACACTTACAAGGATTAAAGACCCCATTCCCACAACATGCAGAACGAACTTGGTTTACAAAATACCATGCAATGATTGCCACAAACATTACAAGGGACAGACAGGAAGGAAACTAGCCATCAGAATACGCAAACATCACCTAGCAGCAAAACAGCATGATAAACTCTCCTTAATATCTGTACATTCAGACAATGAAGGCCATCAGTTTAACTGGGACAAAGTAACCTTGGTAGCCAAAGCCAAATATAGACACGCATGGGAATTCCTAGAGGCATGGTTCTCCACCCATACTCCAATCAACAAACATATAGAATTGGACCCCATATACAAACCCATGCAGATCAAAACCGGAAATGACAGTACTCACCATAATGGACCAGACAGTATAAATTCCAAGTGGAGTAGGACAACATCGCTTCATCGGAGGCTCCACTGATGATGTCACCTAGCATGGTGCTGAAACGTCTGAACAAAAACAAGCCAGCTCGGCAAGCAAGTCAACAACCTGAACTAATCCCGTTTGCCAGTGATTGGCTGATATCCCTCTAAACCTTTCCTATGCATGTACTTGTCCAAATGTCTTATAATTCACCTCTACCACTTAGTTTGACAGCTCATTCCGTATATGCACCATGCTCTGTGTGAAAAAGTTGCCCCTCAGGTCACTTTTAAAATCTTTACCCTCTCACTCTAAACCTATGCCCTTTGGCTTTAGACTCCCTTATGCTGGAGAAAAGACCTTGGCTATTCACTTTATCTATGACCCTAATGATTTTATAAACCACAGTAAGGCCATGCCTCAACCTCCTACACTTCAGGGAAAACGGTCCCACCTATCCAGCTTTTCCTTGGTCTCGGTAACATTCTTGTATATCTTTTACACCCTTTCCAGTTTAATAGCATCCTTCCTATAGCAGGGTGACCAGAATTGTACAGTACTCCAATTGTGGTCTTACCAATGTTTTGTACAGCCGTAACACGACATCCCAACTCCTGTACTCATGCTGACTATCTCTAATCAGTCCTTGCCTTTCCAAATGCATGTAGATCCTGTCTCTTAGAATCCACTCCAACAATTTACCCACCCCTAATATTAGGCTCATTAGAGGAGGGGGGTCAGTGGTGTCTGCAGTTACCTGGCTTTTGTTTGCAGCTTTTCTTAAATAATGATACAACATTTGCCACCCTCCAGCCTCTCACCCGTGGGTGTCGATGATACAAACATCTCTGCTAGAGCTCCACAATTTCTTCTGTAGCTTCCCACAATGTCCTGGTATACAAAAAGATCAGGTCCCAGGGATTTATCTACCTTTATCTGTTTTAAGACCACCAGCACCTCCTCTTTTGTTATGCAGACTCTTTTCAAGACATCACTATTTATTGCCCCAAGTTCTGACTTATGAAGACAAGCATTCTTCCTTCACCATCCTATCTGCCTGTGACACCACTTTCAAGGGACTATGTATCTACACCCCTAGGTCTTTCTGTTCAACAACACTCCGCAGGGCCCTACCATTTACTGCGTAAGTCCTGCCCAGATTTATCTTACCAAATTGCAAAATCTCGCATTTATCAAAATTAAACTCCATCTGCCAGTCCTTGGCCCAATTAATCAATATCCTGTTCTACTCTTAGATAACTTGCTTCCCTGCCCACTATACCACCATGCTTCCTAAATTCTCATCGAAATTGTTTATATAAATGATTAACAACAGTGGATCCAGCATCGATCCTTGCAGCACACAGCTGGTCACAGGCCTCCAGTCTGAACGAAAACCCTCTATCACCACCCTCTGTCTCCTACCGTTAAGCTATTTTGTATCCAAATGGCTAACTTTTCCTGGATCCCATGTAATTTAACCTTACTAACTAGTCCACCATGTGAAACCTTGTCGAAGGCCTTGCTAAATACATGTAGACAACATCTACTGCTCTACCTTCATCTACCTTCTTCGTCATCTCCTCCAAAAACTCAATCAATTTAATGAGACACAATTTCCCACGCTTAAAGCCATGCTGACTATCCCTAATCAGTCCTTGCCTTTCCAAATGCATGTAGATCCTGTCTCTTAGAATCCACTCCAACAATTTACCCACCCCTAATATTAGGCTCATTAGAGGAGGGGGGGGGTCGGTGGTGTCTGCAGTTACCTGGCTTTTGTTTGCAGCTTTTCTTAAATAATGATACAACATTTGCCACCCTCCAGCATCTCACCCGTGGGTGTCGATGATACAAACGTCTCTGCTGGAGCTCCACAATTTCTTCTGTAGCTTCCTACAATGTCCCGGCATACACTCGATCAGGTCCCAGGGATTTATCTACCTTTATCTGTTTTAAGACCACCAGCACCTCCTCTTTTGTTATTTGCAGACTCTTTTCAAGACATCACTATTTATTGCCCCAAGTTCCCTAGCTTCTATGATTTTCCCCATGGTAAGTACGGAGGCAAAATATTCATTTAGAATCTCACCCATCTCCTGCGGTTCCATACATTGACGGCTTTGATGATATTTAAGGGGCCTTATTCTCTCCCTAGTTATTCCTTTGCTCTTAATATATTTCTTGAATTTCTTTGGATTCTCCTTTATCCTATCTGTCAAAGCTATCTCATGTCCCCTTTTTGCCCTCCTGATTTCTTTCTTTACTGTACTCCTACACTCCCTATACTCCTCAAGTGACACACTTCATCCCAGCTGTATACACTTGAGATATGCCTCCCTTTTCCTTGACCAGAGCCTTAATAGTTCTAGTCATCCAGTGCTCCCTACTCCTGCCAGCCTTGCCCTTCACACTAATAGGAACATGCTGGCCCTGTACTCTCATCATCTTGCTTTTGAAATTGCCAGACACCCCTTTATCTGCGAACAGCCTCCCCCAGTCAACTTTTGAAAGTTCCTGTCTAATACCATCAAAATTGGCCTTGCTCCAATTTAGAACTTGTGGACCAGGCTTATCCTTTTCTGTAAATTATTTTAAAGCTAATAGAACTATGGTCACTGGTCCCAAAGTACTCCCCCACTAATACCTCAGTCCTGCCTTATTTCACAAGAGGAGATCAAGTTTTGCCCCTTTTCTAATAGGACTATCTACATATTGATTGAGAAAGTTTTCTTCAACACACCCAACAACACCTATCCAAGCCAGTAGTCCCAGTCTACATTTGGAAAGTTAAAATCCCCTACCATTACAACCATATAATTTTTACAGCCATCTGCAATCTCCTTACATATTGCTCCTCAATTTCCTGCTGACCGCCAGGGAGGCCTGTAGTATAATCCCATCAAAGTGATCACCCCCTTCTTATTTTGCAGTTCCGCCCATATATCTACACTGGATGATCCCTCCCTGAAGCTACCGTCTATCACATTGTCTGCGTCCTGAATGTTCCTCTGTACTTCCAACTGCCACCTCAACAAATCCATGTGGTCTGAGAGGAGCTGCAGCCAGACACACATCTTTAGACCTAATTGCCAGGGTCACTTGACTGCTCCCTGATCTCCCACATCTGACAGGAGGAACATACTGCTCCACTGACTGCCATCTCTGCCCATTTAACAACTAGCGGAGGTAGGGACAAAAATGCTCTTACTTTGCCCTTATCTTGTTGCTGCTGGCCCTCCCCAACTAAGCCCACTATTGACCTAGGCCCACTCTTAGATCTAATCAGCAGCACTTCGACTACAAAGCAGCCCCTTCCAAAAATGGCCAGAATATTACAAAGCAATGCCTTCCTCCCCAACTTCCCCAAAACACAGCTGAACTCCCAGAGTTTTCATTTACTAAAAGGCATGCAAATTATATTTCATGTAGATCTGTTAATAGTTAATCTGGTTTTGTGTTAATTTGTAACATTGTGTTTGTTATTCCTTATCATGAATAGTGTTTGTTCAAATTGTTCTCCAATTTATGTTTTCATTGCTCTGCTCTATTCTGTTCTGTACAAAGTATTTGATTATAATTTGTTCTTTGGCTCAAAGCTACCTGAACAAGATACGGAATCGGTATTTATTTAATGGGGGTGAATACTGTATGAATGTGGAGACACGTGCAAAGCTGGGTCTCTCATTTGTCTCTCAGTGGACCGTGGAAAACCTGAGTCAGGTTCAGTCAGATGTAGTATCGCCTCTGCTTCTCTATTGGTGAGTACAGGCACAAGGCTGGGAAATGTAGGCTAATGGTATTTAATGTATATCTATTTATCTTTCATTAATGCATTGCATAGAGTGGAATCTATTAACTGCAAATCACACCAAAGAAGCTTTATGCACAGGTTATGAAATGTGTTTACCCAAGATAGTGTCAGGTCCAGATTCTAACAGTTGTATACTTTAAGACATAACATTTAACATGCACTCTATTGCAATTAATATCTGTAAGTATTGATTATACCCAACCTGTTTTTGATAATAGCCTTTTGATCATTCTCTTGACTACTATTGAAGTATTAAAGTATGAATATGAGAATATGATACTCCTGAGAATCTAGCAGCAGAGATAGCCACATATGCATTGCTACCAACACACATGTATTGTTTCAAACATTTTCAATGTTATTTTTGTTTTCAAACAATTTCAGGGGTCCAAGGTACTGTATTAATAAAGGATTTCCCATACGGCAAGCTGGTATTGCCCTGAAAGATTGGGAAGATCGTCAGTTGAGACCTAAGTCTGATGTAGGCCCATTTCCTTTGACACTGCCAAATCCTGCCAAGGTAGAATGCATTCCAGACAAGGTTGGTATCATGTTGTGGTTACAAATTAAGATTTTCTAGAAGTTTTTATTTTCAAAGTGTAACATGTTTTTTATTTCCAATGGATATTGGCCTATCCTGGTTAAAGATTGCTCATATCAGTGAGTTTTGGCTCAAGAATCAAATTGTTACCCTTTATTCCTACTACCAAGAGAGGCTGGAATCAGTGAATAAGAGGAAAGTGATATGTTTGCTAACTCCTTTTACTTTCTTGCTCCAATTTCTCCAACTTTTTAATCTATTCTTCTGTCTTGAAAATATTAGTCATGAAGTGCTGAGATTTATTTGGTGCAAAAATAGTTTAGTTTTGTATTATGACCAGGTGAGGAGATGGAATTACACACCTCTCACCCCATCCATTTTTAACCCTTTCTCAGTTGGTTGCAACAAATATGGTCTAATTTATTTTTCAGCATACAGCAATCACACCCCAATTAAATTGTAGTTCACTAGAAAATGAAAGAGCTAAATACCAAGGTTTCTTGAGTGAAATAAAGAAGAAAGAATACAAACGTGACATCAGACAAGCACACACAAAAGCAGTTAATAGTTTAATGAAAAGACAGAAGAAGGCGCCTTGTAAAAACAAAATAATGCAAAGTACAAGAAATCCCCAAATTTCAAACTTCTAATTTATGAACACTTATGCTTGTGAACACAATCCCGTACAGAGTTGTAATTTCAAAGATCCGGCATACAAATATTGCCTGTCCTTACAAATGGCTGTTTTACATTGTCCTACATTATGTCCTGACTTGCGCCCAAATCACCTTGCGAACAGACTCCAGAACATAACCTGTTCAAACCCAGAGACTGCCTGCATTAATTTAATACCTCCAGCCCTGGATTCATTTTCACTACTTTACCCTTTTGACGGAATATATCTTGACTGTGCCCAAAACACCTCTTTTCTGAAGGTAGCCCATTGCTCAACTACTGTTTTACCTACTAACCTTTGGTTCCAGTCTATCTGGTCCAGCTACATTCTTGTCCCATTGAAGTCAGATGTCCACTAGTTGGTTATTCTTAACCTAAATTGTTTATTTGTTCATTTCCCACTGTTATCCTAAACCTTATGATACAGTGATCACTGTCCTCTGAATGGTTCCCCCATTGACACTTGGTCTGGCTCATTTCAAAGAACTAAGTCTAGCAGTGCCTCCTTTCTTGTTGGACTGGACACGCACTACTGTAGGAAATTCTCCCGATCACAATCTAAGCTTGTCCCTTGCTACGGTTTACACTGTCATTATCCCAGTCTTATTTTCTGGGAATTAAAGTCCCCCATCATAACTACTGTGCAATGTTTGCACCTACTGGTAATCTCTGTGCAGATTTATTCTGCTACATCTTTTTCATTAGTGAATGGTCTATACATTACATCAAGCAATGTAACTCACCCTCTTTGTTCCTTAACTTTAGCCATATTGATTTTGTCCTTGAACCCTGTGACACAACCTCTTTCACCAGTTCTCCTTAATCAAAATTGCCATCTTTCTTCCTTTCCTGTTTTTAATGAACCCTTGTAAACAGGAATATTTAATGCCTGAACTTGCCCTTCCTTGAGCCACATCTCCATTATGACCAAAACATAATAATCCCACAAGGCAGTCTGTGCCTTAATGTAACAAGAATTCATATCGTTGCACTGGTAACCCTGATTTAAACTTGACTACTTTCTCTCATAGTCTGTTTCCACTATGCCACCAGCGTAGACTGTTAAGTCATCTTGAAATATTGAGCATGGTGGCTCAGTGGTTAGCACTGCTGTCTCATAGCATCAGGGACCCAGATTCGATTCCAGCCACTGTCTTTGTAGAGTTTCACATTCTCCCCATGTCTGTGTAGGCTTGTTCCAGCTGCTCTGGTATTCTCCCACAGTCCAAATATGTGCAGGTTAGGTGGGTTGGCCATGCTGAAATTGTCCATAGTGTCTAGGGATGTGTAGACCAGATGGATTAGCCATAGGAAATGGAGGATTATAGGGATAGTGTTGGGGGTTTTGTTCTGGATGGGATGCTAATCGGAGAGCTGGTGTGGACTCAATGGTCTGAATGATCTGCTTCCACACTGTAGGGATTCTATGATGATTCTATTTACTTACTTCTATTGTAGTGCTATCTGCATATTTCATGCACCCTGGTATTATTCTGTAATGTTTTCTCCTGGTTCCCACACGCCTGCTGAGTTAGTTTAAATCTACTACAACAGCATGAGTAAAATAAGTTGGCAAAGAGCTCAGATGCACCCTGTCTGGTTTCTACAAGTGCAATCTGTCCCAGAGGCTCTCCAGTGATGTCCTCTTCCTGGTGGAGGGTCACTGGGTGCAGCTAGTGGCCGTGTGAGAAGAGATGGAATTTGTTGGAGAGGATGGATAAAAGATTGTGCAGAAGAGCTGTGAGTTAGCATTGGTGGTACTGAGAGAGCAGCGCAGTACAATGAAGTTTATTGGGGCGGTTGCTCATTGATTCTCCAGGAAAAGCACGCAACATGTTGGCTGCTGAATTAATGATACGAAAAACAGAATTTCACATAAAAAAAATTTGCCCCAGGTCACAGCAGAATTGGCCATGAAACTGAATTATCAGATCATTTTACATGTTAATGAAAAAATCCAACCTGTTATTCTTAACAAGCATCTGGTGCATTTTCAGTCAAATTATACAATATGATTCTATATCATTATTTGAGTCACTGAATGTAGCCAAGACTAAGATAGACTTTTGAACCAAAAGAGTACCAAAGCATTTTGAGGAACATGCAAGTAAGTGGAGTTGCGGCCAAGATCAGATCAGGCATGATCTTGCTGAATGACAGATCAGGCTTGAGGAGTTATATAACATACTTCTTTTCTATTTATTATATTGTTATGCCATGCATTTAATCTTTACCATCATGCCTACTGATACGACAATAATGGGTGGTGTGAACCGTAACTCCCACAATCTGTATACTTTTATGCCTTCATTTTCACTGCTTCTAAAGCTGTCTATTTAATATCAGTGGAAAGATTAAATACGTAAGTCTATCCCATAATGTAAATCATGAATAAACATGCTGCATAGTTGAGGCTGTAACAGTGGGACGCCACTAGTTATATTGAAGCCAATGAATTACACAATAAATTTCCATTCTACATGCTGGCAAATGATTTTACGAATTCTTTTCACTATAACAGCATTATGGACAGCAAATCAATTCATGGACAATATTACATTAATGATAGTAATAAAAAAGAAGTAAAAACAACATAAAGAGACAAAAGAAAGTGAAACACAGAATCTGCTGGAATTGACAGTACATTTGATAGACCCTTTCTTGTGTATATTATAGTAATACTGACTTCAGACAACTGAATTAGACTTCTGTTAATCTCTGTTTCTATTCATTTGCTGAAACAGCCAAAGAAGAATTGTAAATCACGGCAACACCAAAGAAAAGTTCCACGAAATAGATCATCAGCAAATAGGCATTGCACTAGGACAATGTCTGACACTGCTCTCTGCAAGCCAGCATCTAAGAAGTAAGTTTGTGTGCCATGCCATTCTGGGATTGGCTTATCAATGGTTTATTAGTGTATTGATCTGTGGCGCAAATAGATTTTGCCTGTGTTGGATTTTTAACTTCTTTTGTTGCTCAAAACAGTATTTGAAAGGTTAACACTCAAGGTCATACCAAGTATTCATTGACAAAATGAGCCAAACAGACTGGCAACATAGTAGTCCAGAAGTCTCTGAGATCTTGCAGCAAGCACATGCAGAAGCAGGTATTTGACCTAAAAACAGAAAATGCCGGAAAAATTCAGCTGGTCTACCAGCATCTTTGGACAGGAAAATAGAGTTAACATTTCAAGCACAAAAACAAAGTTGCTGGAAAAGCTTTGCAGGTCTGGCAGCATCTGTGTAGAAAAAATCAGAGTTGACGTTTTGAGTTTGAGTTCTGAGGAAGGGTCACTGAACCTGAAACATTAACTCTGATTTTTCCTTCACAGATGCTGCCGGATCTGCTGATCTTTTTCAGCAACTTTGTTTTTGTTCCTAATTTACAGCATCCGCAGTTCTTTCAGTTAACATTTCAAGTGTGATTTCACCCTTCTTCAGAATAGAAGGGGGCTGGAATTTGTGGTTTTTTTGTTGTTGACAGAGTAGGAGGAAGTGCGAATGGAACAAATAATGAGGTCACCCAGGACAAAAGACTGAGGGAGTGCTACTTGTGATAAAGGAGAGATATACACATAAAATAGATGCAAGTGATAGGTGTGAAAAGGAGAAAATGGGTCTGTTGTGCTTAGAGCAAAATCAAAAAGACAAAAACAAGACACGACCGGATTTGGGGGGAGGGGTGGCGGGCTTGGTTGAAATCAACAGGGATGGTAGAGGTCATGGCTCTGAAAATCATTAAACTCAGTGTTAAGTCCCGGACATTGTAAAGTCCCTAAGTAGAAAATTAGGTGTTGTTCCTTTGGTTTGCATTGAGCTTTGCTGGAAAACTATAGCTGGCCTAGGTCAGAAATGTTTGCAAGGAACAAGGGCAGAAATCACACAACACCAGGTTATAGTCCAACAGATTTATTTGAAAACATAAACTTTCGGAGCCTCACTCGTTCTTCAGGTGTTAGTAAGGTGGTATCACACACAGAATTTATAAGTAAAAGATCAAAGGGTTCACACCACTGATGAGAATATATTAAACAAACCTAAGATGCTGTTAAATCTTTAATCAGTTAGAAGGTTTTAATTGATTAATATGTACACATACACACACGTGCGTGCACACACACACACACAGACACACACACACAGACACACACACTCACACACACTCTTTTTCTCTACCCCCCTTCACACACATACTCACACTCTCACTCTCTCTCTCTACCCCCCTTCACACACATACTCACACTCTCTCTCTCCCCTCAAATACGTATACACACTCTCTCTGTCCCCACCAAACAGAGACACACACACACACACACACACACACACCACATGCACACACTCTATCTCTCCCTCTCTCACACACACACGCACACACAAATGTAAATCTATGGGGTGAATTTGTATTTAGGATACATCCTATTGTATTTTGTTTAAAAAGCACACAATTTGTAGTCAGTGAATGTGGCGTTTCATAAATTCCTACTTTAGAAATAAAATAAGTCTGACTCCAAACCAAAACACAAATAGATTCTAAACAAGGCCTCACACCTAAAATGCATTGTCTGACCTAAAATGTCATCTCTTCTTTACACTGATAAAACCTTTAGTTCCCTCACGGCAGTGGCTTGAAAGGAATTTGGGGATTTATATATACATATTAATCAATTAAAACTTTCTAACTGATTAAAGATTTAACAGCATCTTAGGTTTGTTTAATACACTCTCATCAGTGGTGTGACCCTTTGATCTGTTACTTTTTAATTCTGTGTCTGATACCACCTCACTAACACCTGAAGAAGGAGCAAGGCTCTAAAAGCTTGTGTTTTCAAATAAACCTGTTGGACTATAACCTGGTGTCATGTGATTTCTGACCTTGTCCATCCCAGTCCGACACTGGCACCTCCACACCACTGCAGGGAACAAGATGGTTTATTGAAATTCCCAGCATCAGTAGTATTTGCTTATATTTGACTTATTTGACCTGTTGTTCCTGTGTAGATATATGAAAGAACAATCTTAGTTAGTCCCATTTCCAGAGATAGAATGAACTGCAGATGCTGGAGAATCTGAGATAACAAGGTGTAGAGCTGGATGAACACAGCAGGCCAAACAGCATCAGAGGAGCAGGAAG